GATTCGAAGCACGATGCATCCGAAACTCCATCCACCAGACAAAACCCATCTGCCGAATGTGCGCAAACCCTGGGAACGATACCCTAAACCCTAAACCCCCAAACCCTAAACCCTAAACCCCTAAACAGCAACCCAGGATTTGTTACACACAGGACCCGGACTTGATGAGGGCCGCGTGAGGCACCGGAAGCTGAGTTTCCGATATGGAGGGTTTAGGGTTTAGGGTTTAGGGTAGGATATATAGGGGATATATTGGGGATATATTGGGATAATGGAAAATAACATGGAAACTAATATATTATAGGGCTTAGGGTTCAGGATGTAGGGTTTCTGTAGGAATAATGCAAAAGAAAATGGAGACTACCATAGTAGATTGGAGTTATATTGGATTTCGGGTTGAGGGTCTAGGGGTTAAGGGCTTAGGGTTTAGGGCTTAGGGGTTTAGGGTTGAGGGTTTAGTGCTTAGGGGTTTAGTGTTTAGTCGTTTAGGGCTTAGGGGTTTAGGGTTCCCGGTCGAAGATTTCGGGTTTAGGGTATAGAGTCTAGTGTTTAGGGTTCAGCAACCACTAGGAAGAATCACATGGACCAGAAAGTGGCAGGAGAACTAGAGTTTGGAGTTATACAGGGATTTAAGGAAGTTCAAGCTAATTTGCTAAGTTACCATAACAAGGAGACCATATTATTCAACATATACCCCAAGTACAGCAATTAAAACCCGTAGAATATAGTCCCGAAGAGTGTTGTAGTGCTATTTTTCCATCTCTTTAGTCTCTACACAGAGCACCAAACAGCAACCAAGGAGAACCTAGTATGGATATGTAGCAGATCACAAGGCTTCCTTAGGGTTTAGGGTTTAGGGGTTTAGGGTTTAGGGGTTAGGGGTTTAGAGTTTAGGGTTTGAGTCTCTTAACAAACCCTCAATTCTTAACCTTAGCATAGGGGTCCCTAAGCCCTTAGACCCTAAGCAGCAGATTTCCTTATGATAACGAAGTCCCAGGGCCCCAAACAAGCCCCAAAGCCTAAACCCTAATAACCCCAGGAAGGGCAAGAAGATGCTCCACCCGGAAGCCTTCCGCAGCATGTACCTGAATCATGGCCGCCAACTTTCGTCAATAGATCCATGGTGGCGGCTGGAAGCCTTTGGGTTTAGGGGTTTTGGGGTTTAGGGTTTTTGGGGTTTAGGGTTCATGGGTTTAGGGTTTAGGGGTTCAGAATTTGTGAGTTTAGGGTTCGGGTTTGTAAGTAGGGTTTGCGATTTTGGGGTTTGGGGCTTAGCTTGTGTCTTGGAGAGTGTTATTCCACCCAGCCAACCACCATGCAATGGGTCTCAGCATGCGGCTATAGTCCCCCTTGAGTAGATAGAATATGGGGTAAATGGGGATCTTATTATAACAGTTCCCAAAGCCACATTCTATCTACTTAAGGGGGACTATAACCCCAATACATACCTATTATAACATAGTAGTTTCCATTTTCTTTTCCGTTATCCCTATATAACCCAATAATGTACCCATATTCTATCTATTAGGGGGGACTTTAGGACGGTGCGGATTCTGGCGAGAGAAGCAGGAAGGTCTACTTTGGAGAGAACGGTCCTCCCATATTGGTTTCTTGGTGGGACTTTACTACAAGTTTACAGCTTTTCCACTTTTGTGGTTCCTCCTTTTGATATTCAGGCGAGCTGAAATTAAACATTTCCTGAGAGATTAAAGAGCAACCAAGGTTTCTGAACAGGTCGGTCCTTTGTCGTCAGGAGATCCTGCTGCTCACAAATCTGCAGCTGGCAGGTCTGCGGACACTTTTAAAACCTTTCCCGTTAACATCTCACCTATACAGTCTGTAAAAATGTAATCTACGGAGTCTGTAAATACGTAATTTTCTCGTCCCGGGCTTTGAGACCCTGGTGTCTCGCGCTCGCAGTTTCACTCTTTCGGCCAATGTGAATGGCCAAGAAGGTTTTGAAAAGCATCATGAACCCCCGCAACTTCATTGAGGCATCGGGAAGATTTAGAGCGGAATTTCTAGGGAATTCCGTCGTGGGGCAAAATGTTTGGGCAGGGGTTCATGTCACAATCTCAGGAGGCAGTGGGCCAGGAGATTCTTGAAATTGGATCTCTTAACCCGTCCACTTGCAGATGGGAAAAAGAGGCTTGCCGCACGGCCGCGGTTTAGGGTGTAGGGTTTAGGGTTAGGCTTTATAGAGTTTAGGGAGAACCATTCGTCTCAACACAGGCAGCACTGATTGCCGACAACTGTGATACCCTAGGCCAAACCCCTAAGCCCTAAACCCTAATCATCCCTAAACCCTAAACCCTCGTTTGCAATCTCCTATCCGTGGGCCCTTACCAAGATTCAGGGCTCCTAAGTCCTAAGCCCGAATCTCCCAAACCCAAAACCCCAAAACCCAAACCCACAAACCCGAGACGCTAAACCCTAAACCCCTATAAACCCTAAACCCGAAATAGTAGTTTCAATTTTATTCTTCCTTATCCCAATATAACCCTTATATAACCTCAGTATAACCCTGAATATAGATCCGACCTTAGACCATTGCATCCTAGACCTTGCAAAGGGGCATGGCCGAGATCCGTCTCAATGGTGCGGCCGAGGTTTTAGGGCTCTGGGTTTAGGTTTAGGGATTAGGTTTTAGGGAGTCAGTTCAGGTTTTCCCCTAGACTCCAAGAACTGAACCCTCAACACTCCAATCTTCAGAAACACCTCCGGGCGTCTATATGAGGTGTCCGGGAAATAGGAATCTGCTGTGGTCTTGGAGCTGACATGATGCTGCACTTTCCTGTGTCCAAGGATTCAGAGGCCCATGAACCCTCAAGGCGGAAAGGGACTACGCTTTTACTCCACACCTGAGACTGTCGAAAGCCTGTGCTTGCATGGCGTGCTCTGCACAACTGATTAGCTACAACTGATTAGCATGCGCAAACTCTCTCTCTGGCTCAGCCATCACGGCTGCAAGCATTAGCACTCACCTGCACAAGGGTGCTCCAACACTCCTCCTTAGCTAACGCTTTCAGCGGCAAGCTACACTGCATCGGTGAGTTTCCCCATGGAAGCACAAGGTTCATTTCCTAGGGGACTTCAGTCGTATGCTTCTGCACAACTGGAACGCAAAGCAACAGCATTACACCTTAGGAACATCCTTCCACAAGTGCAAGAACTGGGAGATAGAAAGCTTGGTGAACACGTCGGTCCACCTCAAATGGCACCTTCGCTGGAGACCCTTCTCCCTCCAGAGAACACAACACAAACTTGAGCTGTCTCAAAGTTGGAAGATTGCTTCGCTCCGAAGAAGGATCAGACACTGGGGCAAGTCTGGCAATCAAAGCCTCCTTAAGGCCACTTGTAAGATAACCTTGACTTCTCAAAGCTGCTTTGAGCTCTTCGCAAGACAACAACTTCAGGACATCCTTCACAACACGAGACCTTTCTTGAAGATCTTCCAGGCCTCCAGAAACAGAGCTCTGCGCGCCTGGAGATGGCAACACATCTTCCTCAACAGGAGCTCGTCGTCGCGGTGGAGTGACATCACTCTGAGCAGCAGCATCTTGAAAAGGCCTTCTCGATAAAGGAGATGCAGACCGTGACTCTACCTGTCTCCTACGAAGCTGAGAGACTGAAGATGAAGCAGATAACGAAGCTGGCCTAAGACTCGAGGACCCTTCAGAAACAAGACTCATTCCCGCTTGCGACGCCACCTCTCTCTTAGCAGCAGCCGAGGCCAGGTCTGACACACGCCTCATCTTTTGGGCCCTCTTTGAGCCCTTAAGGGCCCTTTTCACTGCCCTGTATCCAGCCTTTCGGGCCTCCCAAATGCCAATCGCTGCCACACATGTCAGTAAAAGCAGGAACGCCAACTCTTCCCAGCCTGTCGCTGCCAAGGGCTCCTTCTTCTAGTTCCAGTCACAGGCACCAACAACGCTGAAAGAACCACCACCACAGACAAAAGCTTGTCCTTGAAGGCATTCAGCATCTCTGTCAAGCGATCTCCAACAAATCCCCACAAGGTCAGCAGTCTCCAAAGTCTCACCTTTGGCTGAAGCTTAGTTGCAAGGTCCGCCAGTTGCAGGTCGCCTGGAGTGTGACGTATAGTTAGCCGCCCCTCACTCACTGACTCCCTGATATAGGAAGCTCTGATCTTCAGATGTCGGGTTCTCTGGCTGCCAGGTCCTCCGCTGCACATGGCCACCGCGCTTGTGTTATCGATAGCCAAAACCTTGCTGTACTTTCCAGGGCAAACTTCCAGGGTAACCACCGCTGCTCCAAAGGACCTCTGACCAAAAGGAGCGTACGAGGCATCTGTGAGACAGACCCGTTCGCCAGGGATGTCACTTCGTGGGCCGAGCATCAGTTTCAGGTTGCTTGTGCCGGACAAATATGAAAGCACGCGGTGACTCACCCTCAAAACATGACTTTGTCGCCAGCCACAGCGCCTCGCCAAATGCTCTTTGAGCGCTATGCAAAACAGACTCACTGATATCCGCCTCCACATCCTCCAGCTCAGCTTCAGCAGCTTCGACCCACTCTCTCGGAACAGGTAACAGCGTGCTGTGTGCGTTGTGAAGGTTATGTGCGCGCAGTATGTCTGCTATGTATGCTGCTTGGCTGAAGCTCTTAGCCCCGGGCTCCCAAAGAATCTCCACTCCCAGGCACCTCACGGCAATCTTGTCATTCACCCACTCCAAGGGACTAGCTGGCCACTTCTCCACGACAAACGAATGCAGGGCATTGATGATGTAGAGCTCCCCCAAACACAGGATGTCGTCGGCATACGTGACCACCAAGCCAAGCAGTTCACCGCTTGACTCATCAAGGACCATCCACAACTCCGTCTCAGAAATCGTAGGTCTCAAGATCAGAACCACGGTGTCCAAAACGATGCAGGCTTCCTTCAAGCGGGCATCACGATATGCCGCCCGCACTGATGGACTCTCCCTTAAGCCGTGCAACGGTCTCTCAAGCAGCCACCCAACATCTTCAACCACTTGAGCATCTCTAACAACTCTTGGAGGATAAATGCCGTAACGAGGAAGGTGATCTGGCCAAGGAGCTAGTAGGAAGGCCCCTGTGATATCGGAGACCGCCGCCAGCCATTGCCTAGAAGCAGCCAACACCAGTGCCAATCTCAAAGAGTCAGTGTTGACCCCTGAAGCATAAAGGCTTCCTCCCTCATCAGCAAGAAAATTGCCACAAATCACCAATCGGCATTTCCTTTTGTGCTTGGATCCGTGGGTGACTGGAGGTTTCAAGGTGAAGACGCATTTAGCCGAAGCGACAGTGACAAGGCCTTTCTGCTCAAGCGCTCGTAGCTCTGAAAGGGACTTGTCGAACAGTTCCTGTGGCCAAGAGATTCTCGACCTCCTTGCGAATCGTTGCTTCCCAACGGCTCCACACCTCACGAACTTGAGGAAGTGGTACTGTGTGGACTACTTGAAGCTCATCTTCTAAAGAGTTGAGAAGCTCTTCATAGTTCGGCTCCTGCTCCGACTCAGTGCCAGATGAAGAAGAAGATGCCCGCGTGGCCCTCAAACATGTCAAAGCCCTCCTCAGCCTCTCCACATGGGCAAAACGAGCATGCGCGTCCTCTAAGTACTGAACCACTTGGTCTCAAGCATGCCCAAGATGCCGACGAGCTTCGTCTCCAACTCTACGGTGCTCTTCACTCAAGATCTCCTCTTCCTCAAGCAGATCTCTAAGTCGGGCAGCCCGCTCTTCAAGGTCTTGAAGAACAAGACCAAGATCCTGACGCACATGTTCCAGGGGTGCTGAAGGCTGCTCAGCATCGTCACACTTCTCCTCCTGAGAAAGAGCTAAGTCACGCTCCTGCTCAACCACAAAATCCCCAGCAGGAGCCGATTCAGCAGCTTGCGCATCCACTGAGGACTGGATATCCACACCCCTGGCCTTGCCCACCAGACCCACACGCAATGTCCTCAAAGCTGGGGCTTGCTCAACAAAGTCCTGCCTTGACAAATGCGGAGCCCACTGAAAACCCATATCTCGAAGGAGAGTGATGTCGTCTGCCTTCGGCTTGCCACTGTCTCTAATAGAGTAGGCCACAAGGACGACGCGGTTACCACTCGACCAAGGCCTTGTTGTATGCATGTGCTTCGGGCTGAAGAAAATAGGACCTTCTTGAAGATTCAGCGTTACAGTCCCGTCCGGCGTGTCCACATCCAAGCCACCCTCCTTGAAGACTGAGAGCGGAGCGATCATGTTCTCCCCAACGTTGTGAATGTCCTTATGACCTCTTGCTTGAATGTTGATATTGACAGACACGGAATTGAACTCATGGCTCGGAGCAATCTGCTTTGCATACTTGACAAAAACTTTTGTCGACATTGGAAAGGCCGATGTTGATTTCTTCACACCAACCACACCTCCATGAACAAATGCTCCTGACGACCAAATCTTCTCAGCTTCTTCTACAACTCCAAAGCGCTTAGGAATGAGAGAAGTGCCAGGAAGCATATACGCAAGTACCTCAACTTGCTCCGGCTCGAGATGATCTTCTCGAAGGAGGCCTAAGGCGTACTGCTCAGCAGGGTGTTCAGGGTCATGCTCGCCCACGTCCCAGGGGTCAAACTCAACGCGCTCCTCCAAAGACATCTTGCTCTTTAGCCGCCGCGCTGGTGTCATGACCAGAGCCTCGTACTTGCCAAGATCAACTATCTTCTCGGAATCCACAAGATGAGGCCTCAGATGCGCCGAGGTGAGAAAGGAGGTCCTCAAACAAGACCACGTGCAATCCCCGTACATCAAGACTAGGTCCCACATAACGGCCATTTCTCCATCTCAAATTGAGGTCATATCGCCCGCCAGTCCCATAGACCTTGGAGTGGACATGGAGTCCCGAAAGGAAGAACTTCTTGCCCTCTTCCAAGCTGAGCCTCTCTCCTGGCCCATGTAGCGTAAACAGCAGCCATAGCCCAGCACGATCTTGAAAGTGACGAAGCAGTCAAAAGCTTGCGCGCCTGCGCCTTGACCCACTTGACAGCGCTTTCAGCTCTGCCATTTGCCTGAGGGGCCTGGCCCTCCGTGCAAGTACACAACGCCCCTCTCTCAAGTAGCCACTTTCTCAGCGGTACCGTACGTAGCTCACCTGCTCGATCAGCGCATGAACTCTAGATATGGGCAGCCCCTCCGCCTTCAATGTCAAAAACGGCTCTTGCGCAGCCGCATACACCTCCGACGAAGTCCTGGACCTCAGTGGACGAGAAACGTAAAAGGTGTCAAACTGGAGCCGTCCCCAACCTCATGGAAGATCTTCTCAAACTCCTCCTGGGAAAGGCCTCTCAGGTCTGATTCATCAACAACTGGAGCCTCGTCTTCAGGCTCCTCCTCAAACGGATCACCTCCATCACGCTCGACTGCTTCAGCACAGGACTGATCATCACCCAACAAAGCCTGAAGGAGATCTTCCTGATCCGGATCTTCTTCTGGACGCCCACCATCTGGTCGTGAATCACCTGGATGCCCACCATCTGGTCGTGGATCACCTGGATGCCCACCATCTGGTCGTGGATCACCTGGGTGCTCACCGTCTGGTCGTGGATCGCCTGGATGCCCACCGTCTGGTCGTGGATCACCTGGGTGCCCACCATCTGGTCGTGGATCACCTGGATGCCCACCGTCTGGTTGTGGATGACCTGGATGCCCATCATCTGGCTGTGGACCACTCTTCTTGCCTTTCTTTTTCTTTGGAGCTCCAGTAACTTCAGCCTCAAGTCGAGGATACGTGTATGCGCCAACCAACATGTACCTATAGTCCGTGTGGTCAGGATCCGAAGCTCTCACTCTGAAAAGGACCTGCAATATCCAGGCTCAGGCAATGCGCACTTGGATGTTTTATTCGTTTGTGAAGCTTGCCAACGCCTGAGCTGGAAACGCATGTTCTGCAGCTCCTATTGTAGGGCCGATGGTTGTTGCGGACGTGGGCCTGCCACATTTTCAAGTCCTTATCACTGAAAGACTCCAAAAAGCCTTGACATCAATCTTTTTGGCCCACTTGACCACTTGAAGAGCTTCTGGCTCCACCTTCCATCGCTTGATTGCCTCAACAACCGCCAACTTGAAGCCATGCGTCCACGCTGCGTTCTCTCCAGTGGTGATCTCCAAGGGAAGGACAAAGTCAAGGTTTGTTGCCATAACTTCTCCAACCTCCTCCAGGCACATCTGCTCCACAAAGGCCGGCCATGTTGCTCGAAGAGAATCCCAGCACCGCCCATCCTTGCCCTTGATGATCTCAAAGAGCTTGCGACCCTCCATCATTGTGAACAAAGGAAATGCCCCTTGATTGCTTCTGGCCGCCTTGGCAACTGGTGTGAGCCACATCTGCTTCAAGACAAGTTGAACATCACGTTCCCCTCGACACGGAGGCGATCCTACAAGCCCAGCAATCCGACCTGTAGCTGCTCCCCATAGAAGTCCACGATACACACCACTCATTTTGTGCAGGTCGTAGGACAGGGATCTCGTGATGTCAATCTCCAAGATCACGGTGTTGTCCTCCAGATCCCTCAGGATAGGATCTGCTCCCTTGCCATTGCCGGCGTACAAATGGACCACCCAAGGCAAAGACATCAGCCGCTTTCTCTTTTGCCTAGAGACTGGGAAGGCCTTCAAGTAGTCCCAGCCAGCACGTGAAGAGAGATCCACTCCCTCCGCCAGGCGCGCTCTGTCTGCTTGGCTTACACTTCGAAAAGGCGAATCTTCTGCGGACAAAACCTGAAGTTGAGCAGCCCGCGATCCAGTCAACAAGAAAGCGTCCAAGCACTGAGACCAAGCCTTCTCCTGATCCCAAGTCCAAATCGCCCTTGCCATAGAAGCCGTCGAAGTCTGAAGAGTCGAAAGCTTCAAGTCCTCCAACTCCTTAATCAAGTCCAAGGCACAGGCTTCTCCCACAACTGGACATGGGCCTACAACGTTGGGACGAATCACACCATGTTCAGGATGTCTAATCTCAAGCCCACGATGTCGAGACCAAGAAACATCACATCCAAGATCCTGAACAAGAGAACCCAAAGGCACGATCGGAGTAGCGGTGTCCCCCTCTCTTGAGGGCCTTGCCAGCAAAGTGCCAGCCTTGTTTTGCGCCAGAACCACCTCCGCACCATCCGCCAACTGCACTTTGACTCTTGTAGCTCTCTCAATCTCCTCCTCAGTGGCTACACGAAAAGGATGTGAAGCCCCAGAGTCCAACAAGCCAGTACGACCATCACCTGGGTGACATCTATGACCAACCGCCATATTCTCGACCTGAGTGGACGACAATGCCAACATCTTCAGCTGCCTCATCTCCTTCAACATGGCGTTAGCCTCCTTGAGAGGCTGCTTGACTTCAGCCTCTGGCATTTCCAGAGCTGGTGCTGAGCTTGTAGTCCCGGAAGTCGTTGAAGTGGCCGCAAGACCTGGAGGAACTGGAGAGCTAGCCATTGGAAGCGCCGCAGGTACCTCAGAACTGGCAACTCCAGGGCCTGCTGTCATAGCCACCGCCGCCATTGGAGGAGCCTTTGGAACATTGGCCTTGGCCTTCCCTGCAGGACTCCCTTCACTTCGCACTGGACATGTCCCTTGCTGATGTTGAACACTTCCACATGACCAACACCTGCCCTGCTTCTCCTTTCGAGTGAACGCGTGAGACCAGGTGCAGGCCTTTCCCTTTGAGCAGCCTTGATCTGAAAGAAAATGCTTGGCTTCCAGACTGAATGGCTCATTGGCTTTGCTTTCGCGAGCGGCGGTACTATATCGTCCAGGATCTGTGGTGGAGAGACAGCAGATCCTTGCGTCCCTTGAGAGCCCGCCTCAGGCCAACAGCGCTACAGAAGCGGTCAACTCGTTGAGGCGTTGGGCGCGGTGGATGTCTCGGGCCGCAGACCTTGGAATCCAGCGTCCTGACCCTAGTGTCCTACTACGTGGCCGCTGCAAGATTCTCCTGAGATCTCCTTCCGCATCAACATGCTTCGATACAACTTGGAGGTCGACGTGAGGCCAACTGAGAAGGGTGTGAAGGATCTTCATCAGGTCCTGGTCTCTGAGTTTGAGCAGATTGCGTATCGAGGATCTACGGCTAGTAGCTCCAAGGTTCCATTCGTGAAGGCTGTGACTACAGCTCCGGGGCCTCCTCCAGCCAAGGGTTCGTCAGATGGTGGATCTCCTTCTTCGCCAGCCAAGGCCAAAGGAAAGGCTCCGTGCAGAATCTCATCACGCACTCCCTCAGGAACACTGGCAAGAAGCATGGACGCTGCCCGCTTATCAACTCGAGACCATTTGGGATCCTTGAGCTCGGGGGTCTCGTAATCCTCAGGTCTCAGCGCTAGCTTTCCAACGTGAGAGGCTCGAGTATAAGCGTCATAGTAGGCAGCAAGGGAGAGCATCACCTCCTTCCACCAGTCACCGCTGCCATTCGACAAGTCGCCCATGTGGCTTTGGAGCCCATGCAACCAATCCCCCACATCAATCGCCGAGTTCTCGGACAGCTCTGCCAGTTTTGGAAGTTCGGCAATCCCAGGCTTCACGATCTCCACATCCTTGGTCTTTGACCTCAAACTTTCCGACACAGCGCTTTGCAGCTGCGCCATCCCCTGAACCAAGAGTCCAAAGGGGTCTGGAGCTCGAAAAGAACCTTCTTGGGGTCCTTCCCCTGCTTGCTGAGCCATCCCGTCGATTCTCCCGCTCCGCCTCAGTCCGTCCTCCGCCACTTGGAGCATCAAGAGGGGGCTGCAGTCCTTGCCCTCCAAGTACTCCCAAAGGATCCTTCTTTGGACCGACGAAACTACTAGGAACTTCACCAGGAGCACCGCCGCGCGCTGAAAAAAACTTCACGAGCAACCCCTGAATTCCGCTGATGTACACCAGAACGCTCAAGTTCTGAGGCAGGATCATACACATGCCCCTTAGGATCTGGTTGTCTACCAAGAGGATCCCCTGCACTTACAGAAGCTTGTGGGCCAGGTCCAACAGGATTACCTCCGCGGTCCCCTCAACAGAAAACGCGCTTCCCTGAGGTCCTGCTGAATTTCCAAGCGCACGTCCTTCTTCACGATCCATCACCTGGGCATGCTGGGCTTGTTGACTTCGCTCTAGGGCTTCAGTCTTTGGTTCTCCATTTCAAGCGCAGTCCTTTGCTGAGTAAAAGCTTGCATTTCCCTTGAAACTTGCCGCTGAACTTCTAGTAGCACTTGTTCTCGAGTGAGAGACCCCGTAGATGACTCACTACCCTGTTGAGGTGGAGGGCCATGAAGTAACGGAGCTTGGAAGCCCACTGCTGCATAGTCCTCTCTGCCTCTGGCGAGAACAGGCCAGACTGGT